GGAGCGGCTGTGTGGTGCTTAGTTGCTGGCTGGGGTTAAATCACGACAGCAGGCATTAAAGATCTTCAGTAATTTGAGGGATTTATCTGTTATAAAGTATATGACTTTAAAAAACCCCACCCCAGTTTATATAATCTTTCCATATGGAAGCAGATTTGGCACTAGAGAATGTAAATTAAATACAGTAATTTAAGAATGAGTAAAATGACTTTTCGTAGAAAACTCACTTTCAGAGAGCCACAGTTCATGTACTCTATGCATCTGTTCTCTTTCAATGTTTTACTTTTCAGCTAACTTTTGGTCTTTCAAAATATCTCTTTCACTTCACTTTTGTTACCCACATTTTCAGTTTCTACCCTTTTGTCCTTTCACATAAGCTATCTCCTGTGTGATTCATCACCAAAATTGCAGTATAAATTTCTCTGCTAAAACAATCTGCAAGGTATAGAAATAACTATCTGTTATTCTTTTCCAGTAATGGAAGCGTATACTCTCTTCATTTCTTTGCATATTATTAATTAAAACATAATCCATTTGCTAATAGTCACTACCAGTATGCTTTCATCTGCCACATTAATTACTATACTGTTACATTCCAAATCCTGTTAAGGGAAAAATGAAACACACCTTATATTTAAAGCCAAGAATCTGTTCTTAATGTAATTGAAATCCTAACACTACAACAAAGAATTATTATTAAAATGGATATGAAAATGTATTTTTTCATTATTTTCTTTTTCTTTCTATTACAAGGGCAAAAAGTCTCAATAATAACAAAACAATTAAAATTGTTATGCACACACTTCCTAGTATCTTTCCCTTTCTCTGATATCATGGTTACTCTTCCACTGTTTCTCTCTGGATCTTGAGATCATTCATTGGCTTCAGTTCGGGGGTGCTATGATGCATTGTCAGCATTCCAGGTTCTTTGCTGGGAGGGCTATGATGCTGCTGCTTTCTTCCTCCTTGCTCTAGGGTCCATGTGGGGCTACTTTTACACTTTGTCCTTCTTTCACTGATCTACAACTACATTTTACATCAAAATTTACTGCGTAAATGGCAATTGTCTTACATACGTTGGATGCTTGTCCTTTGTTCTCTTTGTTACCCCTAAAACTGGTTTTGACCAGCTTCCATGTCTGTGTTTCTTTAATTCACCGTTGGCGTAATATTTATAGGCTTGGGGGTCTCCAGTGCCATCCTGTGCCCCCTTTCTTATCGTTTCATACTGGTACGCTGCATCCTGTGTTTCTACTTTTGTTGTCTCTGCTACCATCCCGTGCCTACACTACATCATTATGTTGGTCATAATTATTTCATCCTAAATAGAATAGAAAAAAAAAATATGCCATACAAAGATAAGCAAAAGTAATGTAAACTAGGCATAGCCACCTGGTCTTAGGAAAAATTGCTGTTTCAGCTAAACAAATTAAAAAAAAAATGCAGGAAAGCCAAGACAGATTTGGATAAAGCCTGACAAGATTCAGTCCTAAGGCCTTCCAAAGTTTGTTCAAATCATATTGCTACAGGTGGCAATGCTGCATTTATGGGGATATAGAGCTACACTAGCTTACGTTTATTTCACAAATGTGTTACTAAACATTCCTTAAAGAAAACCCTTTAAAGGGTTTTAGTAAATCCTGGTTTAGTTAACCATCATGGTATGAATTTTTACATTCATGATCCATCTGCTTAAATCACTATGACTGTACTATGCTGATGGGAATATTGATGTACAGTAAAAATGAACATATATGTAAAAACTGTACTTAAACTCTCGGAGTTTTTGTAAGGATTATCTGTACTGATAAGTCAGAAGACACATTTAGATGATCCAAGTTTCCCATTTCTGTTTTTCTCATTTGGTAATCAAGAGATACTATATTTTTGTTTTTAAGATAGTCATAATGACTCTTGCTATGACTATGATGTTTGTCGTGTAGATTCTGCAGTATGACCTTCTGCAAGAATGAATGTCCATTTTTACAGTTTTCGTACATACCTAACCTAACTCCACACTCCTTTCCATAGGGAATTTCACTTTTCTACCAACTCAACCATTGTTATTTGTCATATCTAAAATGAGTCACAGTCATATAGGACACACAATGAGAATTTCATAAAATGGGACAGACATTTTTTTGATAATTGGATTTTTTTCTTATGTTTTTATATATCATTTCGTACACAAAAAGCATACACTGAAAGCAAACAGTTAAGCTAAATATTTATATTAGATTAGAGGCAGAAATAACTTCATGAAAGGTTATATAAATCTGGAACACTAGTTTGCAGAATATTTGAAATGAATGCCTTCTACTGTTATGAGTGCTTTTTGCCATATAGATGTGTAAATGTGGCAATTCCAAGTGCACATAAAGACAGGATTATTTCAAGTGAGACTTTGAAAATCTCTGTCTTGAGCTGACTCATTTTCTAACAGAAGTCATTAGGAATTTTATGAGAGCAACACATCTGAAAACCCTATTCTAAAAATCAAATAGAGGTAGATACTGTATCTGGTTAGGTAAACAATTCCGTATCTAAAACAAACATCACCAGCAGAATGGTTTTCTATTCAATTCTTCTGGGTAAACAAATGAGTATGTTGTTTTTCTATATTTTCTAGTGTGTTGTATTTGCTATGACATCTGGTCAGATGTGGAATCACATCCGTGGACCCCCATATGCACATAAAAATCCTCAGAACGGACAAGTGGTGAGTTGATTTTTTTCATTTTATTCTGAGGAGAAATATTACTCACTCCCGACAGTGAGTCTACAATAGCAGATAACTGCCGTTCCATAGCATGTATGACAGTGTGCCAGAGTCTTAAGTCTCCAGTTGCAAGCAGACTCTGTTTTGGAATTTCAGATGTTTAGAAAGTTCCACCATCTTTGATTTGAGCAATGAAATGAGTGGCCATGTTTTTAAAAATTCTCTCTATCAGGCTCCCAGCTGTAGTGGATGTGTTATAAAATGTTCTATACCACACAATTTCCGCTGTCCAAAGATAAATGGTTATTGTGATTTTTGTAGAAACGTGCTCCTTCACAAGGTGAAAAGCAAGTTTGGTTTTTTTCTTCTTTTCAGGCTCCATTTACACAAACCTTTGAGGTTTGTAACCTCTTATCTTCCTCTTTCTTCAGCATTTTAGTTAGAAAAGGAGATGGCAAATATTTTAATGTGCTTTATATTTTTCATGTGCTTTTTTCCATCATGCCTGTAACTCTTCCACTGAACTTTATAGAATGCTTTTTCCTATATATTCGAAGCTCCCTTTGTGTCATGTCTTAATTGGAGTAGCAAAAGAATGATGGTTTGAATTTGATTACCGATTTGCTTTATATCAGGAATGTAGCAGCATATTAATGTCATAAAATGACATGATTCCATCTGTCAACTTTGTTATGCAGAAGTAGAACTGATAATGTAATAAATAATCTCTGTAAAACACTGTTTATAAAAATTTAGAGTTTTTCATTACTGCCTTGTAGTATTAAATTTATGATGCTTTCCTACAGTGTGACAGAAAGGAGGAATACTGCATAGAAAAAGCACTGTTCGTGACAAATTAGTTTTTACCATATCCAGTTTTATACACATTGCCCTTCTTAAAGATCTGTTTCTGAAGTATAGACTACAATAAATCATTTAAAAGTATCCCTTTAATTCTTCCTGAATTTGTGCCATCTTGTCTCAGTTTTCAGAGTGTGAACTCCTTATATCCTGAGTGTTTGAAAAACTACTAGTTTGGGAGTGTTAACATACACAACTAAATAATGAAAATAACAGTAGAGATGGTTTTAAGTTCTAGTTACTAACCTACTGTGTTAGTCAACACACATACCTTCTTTTCTGGTTTTGCTCCATTATATGACTTCAGGTACCTTATTTTGTGCCTCTGATTCACCTGTCTCCTTGTTCATATGTGTCAGTACTTTCACCTCCTTGGAGTTATGTCTGTGTAAGTAAGTAAAACCAGTCAGATTCTAAGAACAAAAAAAATATAGATGCAGGATCACCCAGTTCCTGATTTATTTAAGGTATCACTGACCACTATAGTTGTAACTTAAAGTTCTGGGTTTTACCAGTGTTAGAAGCTTAATAAGTATTCTGTAAACCTTTACGTATTTTACATTGCTTTTTTTTTTTTCAAATAACATTATTGAACATTTTTCTGTTTCATTTTTCTACCACTTATCTATGTTCCTGTGAATTTGAAGTCATGAAAGTGCTTATCTAACATTTCTGTGAGATTTATTCAGCCATGATAATTCACTCTAACACTGTTCTGCATTGAGTTAGCAACTGCTGTCTTTACATCTGGATGAAATTTAACTCATCACTTTCTTTCAGTGTCTAGGATTTAGTACCAATTCCAAATTTCCATGCTAATTTTATACAAGGATTACTTGCATGTAATACTCTGAAACATCGTTAACAGTCTTACATGTAAAAATCTGTTTTTAAGAGGAGGCATAGAATAGCTCACCAAGCCTAATTGTTTTATTGTTAGGTTCAAATTTACTAATTCTTAGCTTTTCTTATTTCATAGGAGTTAGTGGTTCAGTTCTGTACTAGCTGTAGAGCCTGATATACCACCAGACTTTGAAAGTGATAATGTTCTGTCTTCATAAACTCTTCTTTGCCTCAGATATCTCCTAGTATTTGCTTTGTTCGTGTCATAATTTTAGATGACACTTCATTTCTCTTCCTTAAATTCCTATTTTTTCAAAAGATGAAAAGGCATTTGTTTGCTTTGCTTAAACAACACTGCTTACTAGTGCCAGTATCTTGTAAAAGTAACATTACCAGTTCTTAAAATTTTTGGCTTGTGCACTGCATTTATGATTCTTTGCTTGATTACCTAAATTACTTTAATTCTATGATTGTATTCTTTGAATGAAGCTTTTAAACCAGATTTTTGTAATTCTGTGTGGGTCTATTCTGTGAAGTTGATGTGCTCTCTTATTGAGGTTGTTGCATTTGCTTCCTTTATTCCTCATTGCTGTCAGCTAATTTCAGTTTTTGGGTCCACAGGAAAGCAGTATCAATTTTTATTTAGAAAACTGAATCACATAGTACTGTTGTTTGATATTTCAGTTCTGGTTTAGGTTGACGAAACTGGTATTAGTCTTCTATCTTGACACATTCTTCATCTCTATTGTATTTTTGGAGTTTGTCTTTTGCCTAATAATGTTGCTAAGATTAGGCCGTTACTGACTATGTGACACTAAAATCTGTACCTATTTTACCAGGGTTGAGAGTGAAAACTAAAAACCCCATTGGTGTCTGTAAACAGTCTTGGGAGAGTTCTGATTTTTATTCAGAGCTTGATCTGTATAGAGCTGGTGGTGAGACAAGTAGAGAGCTGGAGAAAGCAATTACATATTTTTGAGCCTCCTGCAGAGGTAGTTCTGTTGCTGTTTAATTGACCTAATAGCAAAGAATTCTCATTAGATTTTCATCAGCTTTTAATCAAATAGCAGCAATGGCTAAGAAAGCATTTATGTATGTCTATCCAGGCATTAGCAGCCATTTTTTTTTTAATTTGGATACAAATTCTATAATACTTATTGTGCAGCATGCTCAAGACTGCATCTTTAAAATGGTTGAAAGTTTGCTATAAATGAGAACAGGGCAAAGGACAAGCTTGATCTAAAATACTGAATTAAGATGATTTTCAAAGCTCATAATTTTCTTTGCTTCTCTGAGAAGAAATTATTAGAAGTTGGAAAAGTTTTTGTGTGAAGAAGGAAATGCGATATATTTATTGTCAGATATTAGACGGTTTTCCTACATAAGCTGATGCTTTGTGAAATGGATAATGGTATTTGCCATTGTATTAATTGGATTTTTTTTTACATGTCATATTTTAAAAGCTCATTAAAATTGCTTAAGCATAACACAAATTATGTACTTAAGAAGCAATTTATATCTGTTTAGCAGATCTTTTAGGTAGAACACCTTGTAATATCAGATCAAATATAAATATTTGTTCAATTGTGGAGTTTACTCAGACTTTTTTTTTCCTACTTACCTTTCCCAGTTTTATAACCCCTGATCTTTATTCAGGAACAGTCTCTAAAATAACACTTTTCAAATGGTCTAGCTGATAGGGGTATCTGGTAATCTATGTTTCTGAAGTTAAATGAAAAATATGTTTGAATGCTATTACTCATTTTTGCATTTGTCAATGCAAAATTAAGGTACTCTGTGTGAAAATTTTATGCTTAGAATATCAAGATTCTTAATTAGTCCTCTACTGTTAAGCAGGACAAAATGTCATTTATTAAAGTATATTCTTCTGTGTTTTCTGACATGACTTTTTCATATGAGTCTAATTAAAATAAATGGAATTTTCTTGGAACAGTTTTAAAGAACGACTCTCCCTTTCAAGCTCAGTAAGTCACACTAAATACATTGTCCTTTTGCCTTCAATCTATCTGGAAGCATGTTTGAAGTACAGTTCACCAAGATTGTATTCGTAATGCCCAACTTTTCTGAAAGTGACCAGATTGCTTGGTAGTAGTTTCAATATATAAAAAAGTCACTTAGCTGTGTGATATATTATTATATATTTGTCTCGCTTTTGGATAAAAAAAAAGTTCATACAGGTTGTTATATCAGTGTCTAATATAAGATATCCAGATTGGCGTCAGTAGTAGCACAGCGATATTTTGGTGCATCTATCGACAATAATCACAACCATAGTGCTATTGAAAATACTTCTTAATATTTTATTGGAATAGCCAATTATTTATGTTAATATGCTTGATAAAAATGAGAAGTAGGGTTTTTATGTTATGAGTGTGTTTAATGAAATGGCTTTTCTGTGGTCATCAAAGCAGTGAGTCTACCCAGAAGCTGCAACTAGTAAAGGGTTTCTCAAGCCTTTAATTTAAACTTATATCGTGATTTAGTCAAAAAACTTAACAATTGGCAGTGTAAGATGTAGAACTAGTATAAAACAATCTTAGTTCTGTTAACAGACCAGCACGTTAACAAATGGGCAACATCATATCTAAACTAGTGTTGGGAAAACCGTTAACCTGTATAAAACATCTGTCCTAATTTTTGAGATTGCAAGGGTGATCGTAGCTGGCATTTCAATAACTTTCTGTATAACACATGTTTCTGCCTTGATATTAGAAAAGAGAAACCTTACACAATATTTTGTACCCTTTTTTATTGTGGGAAGAAAAGGAGGTAGGAAAATGATCATGACAGGAGGGTTGCTCAGATGAGGCATTAGAACCTCTAAATTCTTAAAATGGTCAAGTCTTGAAGCATCCATGCTGTAAAAGTTCAGATAGTACCATTGTATTGCAAGTACTGTAGTTTTGGCTGAGTAAAGATGGAACATGTTCCTATCGAGTAAAACTGGATTTTAGACAAGTAATCAGGCAGCAAGTAGTCTGTCATGATAAAATCCAATAAAATAAAAAAAAGCGCTAGATTTTAATTGCCACTTGTAACAACAGAAATCCAATTGTAATTGACTGATACCACTTTCAAGTAACAAACAGGCCTCCTCCCTCCCACCCACCTTTTGCTAAGTGTAGACGGGCTCCTAGAAGCAATTTAGTTTCATTTGAAAGAAGAACTGTTTTGTACAGAACAGCTTTTTTTATGTCAGAAGTCAGAGAGACCTCAAATATGTGAAGTTATGAAGTATCTGAAGATAGAATGATAATGCAATACAGAAAAATACA